TGTGAGAAGACTGAGCAGCACTTTCCCCTACCAGCACCCTTCATACGCCACGTTCTGTTCCCAAACATAACAGCACCAGCTCCAGACAGCTGAGGAAACGTCCCTGTGTGTGCATCTGGTCCACGTTATATAAGTTTTATGCTTGGCCCTTTGTCAGTATCTACCTTTAGTTCTTCCCCAGTGGACACACTCATGGTCAAGAGAAGAAAGTCCTTCATGTAGCACTGAAGAAGTTCTTGCTGCTGCTCTCCACTGAAATGGGCAAGAAACTTGCCCAGAGGAGTCTGCTGAAAGATTTCTACTAACTTCTTTGACAGTTCTGTAGAGAGGAAACCAAAGAATGGCCTGAAGTGAGACTCTCCATCATGACTGTTCCCTTATATCCAAAAGAGCTTCACAGTGAAGGAGCAGGTGTGCAGTGAATAGTAACAGTGAGTGTGGGTCTGTGGACTGGAGTCCACGGACAAAGGAAATAGTCACTGTCTTGACACTTAAGGTATTTTTTCAGTGGAATAAAATAAAGAAAGGCAGAATCAATGTTAAATTTAGGTCACAAACAGCCAAGCTAGCCCCAAAAGGAAAAAAATGATCTGAGATAGATGGAGGTTTATATTGCACATTTATACATCATAACATATTTCAAGAACTCCAGGGTCCAAGTAAATTAGCCGTGAGTCACTGCTCTTAAGGGGCTGGGGTCACAGACTACTCAAAGCAGAAAGGACAGGCTTCTAGTGGACAGGGTGCCTGCCCTCAAACCGCATGCTATCATAGAAAAGCAGGGTCAGTTAGGGTATTGCCCTGAAGAAAGGCAACACCTCTCATCAGGAGAGAGACTGCTTCCCGTTTGTTCAGAAAAAAATGGCAGAATGCTGTCCTAGAAAAATAAGTTCACCTTGAGTGTTTTGACCAATATAAGTAAATGTTGAAAAGATTATTTCATGTATGAAAGATGACGTTCCCAAAAATGTTGTGTTATCTTTGATTGATCTGGACTATGGCTAAACTCCTTGGCATCTGGCAACAGAGCCCAGGGCCATGCCTGGAGTGTGACTCAGGAGGTGCTGGCAGTGCAGTAGTGAGAGAGTGGGGGGTACTCTAGGTTCTGGTGTTTCCCGAGAGAGGCTTAACTGGGGGCATCTCCTGAGTCTGGTGCCCTGGCTTACAAAAGCCTCAGAATGTGAATGATCAACTTGTAGCGGTAACAGTCCTCATCCTGCCAGAACATGTCCCAGTTCGCCATATCCCTGGTCATCATGGCATCACGGCATTGCCTCATAGGCTCCTTTTGCCAAGGATCAAAGGCTTCTGATACCTGTTGGCAACTTTCTCTTACCCAGAAGAAACTTTGTTGTTGTTGTTGTTTTTGAGTTGGAGTCTCACTCCATTGCCCAGACTGGAGTGCAGTGGCTACTCCCAGCCACTGCAGCCTCGACCTGCTGGGCTCCGGCGATCCTTCCGCCTCAGCCTTCCAAGTAGCTGGAACTACAGGCGCGCGCTACACACCCGGCTAATTTTTTGATTTATTGTAGAGATGAGGTCTCGCCTGCCCAGGCGGGTCTCGAACCCACGGGCTCAGGCAATTCACTCACCTCGGCCTCCCAAAGCACGGATTACAGGCTGAGCCACCAAGCCCGGCCTCAGAAGAAACTTTAAAGTGAAGGAATGACATACATTTGAGGCTATTCCACAAAGTGTTAAAACTACAAACTCCAAAATTAATCTTGTGATAGCAGGCCACCCATGTGTCTGCTTGTTTACTGCCAGGCATTCTCAGTGAAAGCTGATGCACCTGTGCTGAATCTGACATGTTTTGAGAGATGGCCTCACCTTCAGCGTCTGTGATGTACTGAGCCTGGACCCAAAGCTCTTCCAGGTAGTCCTTGATTCTCCAGCTGAATGGGACATCATTGGAAGCATTCTCTGACAGGGCCATGTAGTTCTGCACCATAATGTAGGACATCTCACTTTTAGGTCTGCAACAAAGCAAATGAGGGTAAGAATGTGGTTTGTGACATGTTGCTCAAAACACAAGAGAGGATCTGGCCCTGGTGCCAGTTCCTTTCAGGCCTCACAAACAGGGTGCTGAAAGGCTACAAAGACAGCTGCTGGTCTTTTTACAGCTCAAGGTTTCTGTTATGAAGGAACTAGGTGACTACCTCATGCAGTCAAAAACAAACCAAGGTTGGCAGGGGTCAAGTAAGTTGCCCCAAATCTTTGAGAGCACCAAGTCTTCTGGGGCCTGAACCTGTCCTTCTCTGATACCTCTTAATACAGAGCACATCTTCTGAGAGCAATTCTTTCTTTTATGAACACCAGCAGCACCTTGTCTTCTAAATAAGTGTTTCCATTGGCAACTCAAGAGTTCCATTTATTTATACATTCTTTCTTAACCTACATCCCAGAACTGGAGCCCCTGAAATCCAAAGTGGAAGTTTATGGGAGGCCTGTGGAGCTTAGTTCCACAGTATCAGGCCTAGGGAGGCTGTGCAGCCCTGACCGTGGAATGAGAGACAGAAAAGGGAACACAGATCCAGCGGCTCTCCTGAGTGCAATTTCTCTGCTATACACAGAGTTGAGTCTGGCTATTTTAACTGCAACAGGCATTCTGAAAGCAGGAAAATGAGGAGAGTAGAGATGAAACAAAGATTTCTCAGAATTTCAGTAAACTTCCTTTTGTTACCATAATGTCATCATCCTCTAGGCTGCAGAAAGAGCCCATATCAGTGTTATTCTAAAGACAACAGCTGTACTTCATCAAATGCTAGGGAGCGCATATTCAAAGTGTTGCTATGTTATGAATTTTTTTCCCTTCTCATAAGAAAGCATTTTATTCACCTTGCATTATTCATCACAAGAGGAATGTTCAGAAGCTTAGTATCACTGAAAATAAACATCCAAAGGTCTCTTGCCCAGGGTGGAGAATCTGGCCTGGTCAGTAGCTCGAGGTTGCCATCTCTGTCAATGAAAGATATCATGCTTGCCAGAAGAGGGGTGACAGCACCTTGCACCCGCTTCCAGAGGGTGTGCCTGCAGCATAGGAGAGAGACGGGGCCCATGTCCATTCAGAGGAAGCATTGTGGGAGTGTCTGCCATCTTTTAACATTTTGTTCCTTCTTGAGCATTAACAAAACATCTAGTCTACCAATTACCAAACTATAGCTATGGCAATACATGGAAATTTACATCATTTTTAAGTACTAGAAAAGAGACTCACAAATGAAAATGTGCAAGGTTAGAGGCAGAATTGGAATGGAATTTAAATTTACATCTAATAAACTGTAAGGAGGTCACTGAAAAGGTGAAATAATATTTGTTTTATTTTTTCAGCTAATTATTTTCCAGAACAAGTCATCTAGGTTCTATAGAGAAAATAGTGACCAATTCATTTGGAAAAAAACATTAGTTGTGGATAGAATATAATAAAGATGAAGATACTCCATATCTTTAAAATAAAAAAAACAATAAAGATGAAGACATCAAAATAAATTCATCCTAGATCAAGTTAAATAGGAGAGCACATGTTTGCCTAGAACTTAAGTTTTTGTTGTTGCTGATGATTTTGTATACTAGATCTGGGTATTTTATAGATAGGTAATTAACTACATTACATTTTGTTATATATACACATATAATCATATAAAACTTTAGAATTCGTTTCAAAATTCTTGTGGTCAAGGATAAGAATTACTAGGTGATTAGTGCTGGGAAAAAAAACAAAGGCTCTATTTGAAAAGAATATTAAAAAAACCATTTTTAAAAAAGTATACAATACACAGGAACCTGGCAAGAATTTAAAAATATCTAATGAGAAAAAAAAGCATGCCACTGATCAAGATCACTTGATTTAAGGAAAAACACCAAACTAGAAAAAGGGAGAATGGTAAAAGCTGACCACAGGGAGGGATGGGAAAGCTGCTGAGCGTCATCCCACTGTATCTGGAGAGGGGTACAGAGGTGAGGAATGGGAAGGAAAGACCCAAAGAGTTGTTTAACCCTGAGAGCAAATAACAAGTCTAAAAACACAATGTTCACGTGAAGTGAGCTGGTCACCAAGTCTTGTAACAGCCGACCAGCAGGCTCTGGAAGCACCACTGGCCCCACAACAGGTGGACTGAATGGCTATGGTTCTGTTCACCAGAGTCAGCTGTGCAGACCTTGCTGGCAATCACTGAATGAGATAAGCCAGGTCTCAGTGCTGCAGGAACAGCTCAGCAGGGAAGAAGGAGGTCTGTAGTTCTGAACATCTGGCAAGCCAAGGAAGTTCAGTGACCCAGAGGTGGCAAAAGGGGAGAAAGGAATTAAGGATTTTAAAAAGCATTAATAAAATCCATAAGGAGTACCCAAGGGAAGTTAAAATATTTCTACTAGGTCCACATCTGACCGTCTAAAATTCCTTCAGAAGGTTTAACTAGGAAAAAAATGAAGGATAACTAGAGAGAAAAAAATAGAAATCAGAAAAGTTCCTACTATGACGAATAAGCATCAATAAGCTCACCCTTTCCAGTTCCCTCCGTCTGGTTCTTTCCCATATTCCCCTCTGGCTGACCACACAAGGCATTATGCCTAAAGTGAGTCAAATCATAGTCACAGGAGGTTAGAGTGAAGGGGTGAGTCCTGAGCAAAGCTCTAAGTTTTACAGAAAAAGAACCGTGTGCAATAAATGATACTCCTGGGTTCTATTTCTGTAATTATCACATCAAGTAGTATGACTGGGAAAATAATTTTTGTTCCCTTAAGTTATTAAAAATAGCATTTCTCTCTATGGTTTATAACATGCTAATAAATATTCTACAGAATATTTATTAGAACAGATGTGCTTTTTTAAAAAAGTTTTTATATGAAAAATTTTAAACATGCACAAAAATAGAGAAAAGAGTCCAACAAACCCCCATATAACCAGATTCATTTTGTGTTCTTTGGGGAAAAATATATAGCTCTGAATTGCTCAGAGGTTTAGAAAGAAGCATCTTGGCCTCCTTTCCTTCCGTGGCTGGAGAAGATTTCTGCATGCAACTCCCATCACTGCTGCCATACTGACACCACGCATGTTTCCTTTAGTCACCAGTACCTGAATGTGCCTGCCTCCTGGAGAGCATCCTGATTCGAAGCTTCCCTGACTACCCACTCCTTCAGACTATTGAACTGGTTCTCTTCTTGCTTCTTTAAAAGAATATAAAGGCGCATCTTGGATACCCACAAGAAAGAGGCTGTAAAAAAGGCAGAAGAGACCCACATTCAGCATGTCCATGGGCACTGAGTTTTAGGTGCTGCAGTGCTTTCAACCTACTCCTCCAGTAAGGGAAGTCCTTTGGCCAGGCCAATTCTAGAGCAAAATCGAGAGATGCTCTTAAGATTCCTGCTACGTCAGCTGCTTCTGCTGAGCTGCAGGAAAAACCTGAAAGGGCATTCCCTCAGCATTCAGTGTAATGATTCACACCCCCAGGGAAGAACCTGCACTAAGACAGGAGCAAGAAGGGAGGTGGGATTCATACCGCTGCATTCATCATCATCATTTAAGAGGCTGAGAAGAACTGTGACTCTCCTCATGCTACGCTTGCAGCTCTCATTCTGGTCTCTGAGCATGCCCACAGCGCTTTGCACACAGCTTCTCAGCAGTCTGGTGGTGTCCAGGACCTACAGTTATGGAGGAGCCAGTCAAATCTTCTATTGCTGCCATTTACATGGTGGGTAAAAGCCAAACTCCCCACATGAGCTGATGATCTCAATGCAACATGCAGGAAGCACAGAGGGCAGCCTTTGTGGACAAAGATTAGACACCACACCTGCCATCTGCTGGTGCATATACCTTCAACCCACTCTCTGACAGCCAACTTTAAGATAGTCACTTATGTGGGGGAAGAGAGATATTAGCCTAACCCCTGTACAGTTGCATCGACTCCTATCCTAGTAGAAAAGTATAAACATGCAGCTCAGATGTGTCACCCAGCAGCATATGGGGAGGTCCAAAGAACTAGAACTTACATCATTGCCCCTCAGTGCAGAAGTGTTGTTTTCTGTCTTCTCAGAACTTTCTGTTTCCATGTCCATCTCTGCCATCTTTTCTGATCTGCTAGACTCTGTTTCCATCGCTTCCTCACAGTTGTCTTCTGTCCCATGTCCTATCTCCACTGCAATCAAAGCAAACATGATCACATTACCACTCGGAAGGTGGAATGGGAAGTGCTAGTGCTTAGGCTCCAACTGTCCAGGCTTCCTCTGCCCCCAGCTCCAGTGGTGGGTCCCCAGAGAAGAGGATGCTGTCACAAAGATCACCCACTCTATGGCCACCCCTTCCTTTCAGCTTACTCTGAGGGTGATACAGGAAGCAGGGCAGCAAGCTCACATGTTCTGTAGGTGTTCCTGCTATGGTCCTACCCACTCACAAAGATCCACTTCTGCAGGTGGAAATGCTACCTTGTGCTTGGCTGTGGTGCTCTATGAGTCACTAGTCCCACAAATGTGTCCCCAAGCTCCTGCTGAGGTTACAAAAGCATGGCAGACATACCGTCCGGCACCAAGTGCTTCAGCACTTCACACCTACTGTCTACACTTCCACCACCTGTGTCCCCTGAGACTCCACCTCGTGACTCATGCTCAGGCTTGTCTTCTGGCTTGAACAGCTGGCTGATGGTGACACTCTGAAGTTTAGTAACATCCGAGACCATGACTGTGGATGTCCGGAGGTCGTCAATGTGCACAGACTGCCATAGCCCTGTGAAGAATAAAGCCACCCAGAATCTTTTCATGACTTTTCTGGTTTCTTCTTCTGAGTTGTAAGCAGGAGTACACTACACATTCTGATTTTTAATTACATTGCTGCTAAATAAATGCCTGGTATTCTAAGGCCTAAACCCTTGAATGTACTTGTAGAGAAACCACCTGACCTATTATATATATATCAACAACTTTAACATAAAATCAGCCAAGGCGAGTGGACTGCCTGAACCCAGGGGTTTGAGACCAGGCTGTACACCTTGGCAAGACCCTGTCTCCACAATAAATAAAAAATTAGCTGGGCATGCTAGTGTGCGACTGTAGTTCCAGCTACTTGGAAGACTCAGGCGGAAGGATCGCCAGAGCCCAGCAGGTCGACGTGGCCGTGAGCATGCCACTGCACTCCAGCCTGGGCAACAGAGGGAGACTCCAACTCAAAAAAAAAAATCAGTTTTAGGTCCTAAAATAACAGACTTGTGAGCGATACGTCTGTGATTCTTTTATATGTGTTATATTTGCTGTGTCATGATTAGTCAAGGGCATGAGATTCTGGCAAGGTCTGCCTTCTATTATCTATGCAGTTATTAGAGTAAACTTCCTATTTCTAGAATATCAATTTTCCTATATAACAAATAGTTGGTGACCATTCCTCAGAAAAAAAAGATTTGAAAACAGCACCCTCCCAAAACAGGTATAAAGTCTCAGTACATTCATGAGAGTGTCAGGAATCTCTTCTCTGTAACATCTATATAATAAGAGGTAAAAGCCAGAGGGACTAATCAAGTGTTGTTTGCCTACAAGTAAATAAAGGAAATGCTATGCATTGCAGCATCAAGTCTCAAGATTAGTGATTTTAATAGTAATCAGTGGTAAGAAGTCTGATTGTATCTGAAAAAAACATTGTTGAGATTAACATTAGTATTCTAATTTCAGACTTGTATAACACAGGACTCAAACATTATTTAAATAAAACTGAAAACATTATTTAAGTAAATACATTCACTAATATTTTGGTCCTACCTCCATGGAATCCCACATATGATGTTCCACTTCCCATCCGGGACAGTTTTGTGATGAAGTAGACTAAAATGGAGTCCTCATTTCCTTGTATCTTATTGATTTCATTTATAACAGAATATCTATTTTAAAAACATAGAAATCAAAATGAAACGAGCAAATAAATCAAAGTTGTGCAGTTGCTGAAGGGTGCCATTGGAGCTGTGGTTCAGTCTCACAGTCTCTCATTCTGATTGTTTTACATAAATTTCACACTCCCGTGTGACTGTGATTTATTCTTTTACGAGAGGATGAGAAGTCCTCTTAGTAGGCTTCCCCCTTCCCCTCTCCCTGTGTCTCTCTGCTTTGAAGTGGCATTCCTTTATTGACCAGAAACCCTATCTTGTACTCCTCGGTGGGCTTGTCCTGATGCAACTAAAGGTGAGGCTAGCTGAACTTTCATTTCTTTCTGTCTTTATTTTTTCTTTTAGAGATGGTTGATTGCCCAGACTGGTCTTGAATGCCTGGCCTCAAGCGATCCTTGTACCTCATCTTCCCTAGTCTCTGGGATTACAGGAGTGAGGCACCATGTCATTTTAAGAAAGAGTTTTGGGCACAGTGTAATTCCTCTCAGATGACCAACAGTCAAAGCCAGTGTCCTGCTGGGATCTAACTCAGCCATGAAATGAAATATGGCATCCAATGCTTTTAAAAGGCCCAGAAATCACTTTTTCTTTAACATTAAGTAAAAAGGGAACATAGTTAATTCTAATAGTATCAATTTCCCCTACAAACACTATTCAAATGTCCAATAAATTTGAAAGCATCTATACACTCTTATTGCCCTTGAAATTGCAATAAGTTCAAATTATAATTTAAAATTAATAATTATCAAAACACGTCTGCAAACATATGATTCAAGGATGTCCTTTTATATCTTTTTTAATAGTCTGTTATTTACGCTTGCATTTTATATTGGTATTAGTTTTTTTTTTTTGTCTCTTCTTCAATTTCTGTAGTTCATGTTTGGGAGAATGAGAAGAAATAATTTTTTTAATTTTTACTTCTATATTTATTATAGTACTATACTGTTTTCAGGGAAGAAATGCTTTAGGAGTGCCTGAATAAGTTTTGGGTTTCCTATGTCGCTTCTGAGAAAATACTAAAAACATACTTAGCTGAGGCAATGAGCTGAGCACTGTGAATGCCATCTTCAAAATCGGTCTGAATGATGAGGATTTTACATCTGGCTGTTTTAGTTAAGCAATTTCTGAAAGAAAAAGGAAATTATTCAAGTGAGTTCTCTGTCCTAAAAAGTGAATAACAGAATGCTCCAAAGTGATGAGAAATTTAAAGGCTACATAGAAAACACTATTCAGTTGAGATTTTCTTCTATAAGGTGAACAGACAATCCAGTGGACAGGGAAAAAAAAACCCAATACATGCTTTCTAATGAGAGATGAGGACATGGTTTCAGAGAAGGACATTATGACAGGTACTGCACTGCAGAACATAACAGAAGTGAGAGGAACACTTGGAGACTTCACCTACAGTCCTCACAGTCACGTGTCCTCAGTGTTCATTAACCAGTACTGGCACTACAGCCATACAAATGAAAAGCACCACGGTCAGGACTGGGGTAGAAGGGGAAGAAGACAGAGAACCTCACCGAACTTCTTTCAGGAATGAGTACTCAGTGTCAAACTGTTGCAGCCACAGGATTGTGGGTCTTGATGCCCTGCCTGTGACCTCTGATTCTAAAATCTCACAGTCGTGACTTGTTAGCAGTCTGGAGAAAGTGGTGATCTACAAAGTTAGGAAATGCAAATTATTTGCCAGAATTCAAGTAAAGGTTGCATGTCTGCTAGGCTTAGATGCCAGAAACACGAGGATAATCCGTTGATATCTTTTATGAGCTCAGCATTGTGCAATTGGTATATAGACAGAAAATAATCCAAACCCAAGGGAGTTTGCAAAACCCAAGGCAGTGCTGAGGCAGAGAATCTACAAGATCAAAAGGTATCAAGACTTCACCCTGCCCCAGAGATGCCTTAATCTCCTAGATGCCAATGTCTCATCCCACTTTGGTCCCTGCTTGAGATTCTCATGTTCCTTTAAAGCTCAGCCCAAATGCCATTTCTTAGTCAGAGTCTCACTCTGTTGCCCAGGATGGAGTGCGGTGGCATGCTCTCAGCTACCACAGCCTCAACCTGCTGGGCTCAGGAGATCCTTCCACCTTAGCCTTCCAGGTAGCTGGAACTACAGGTGTGTGCCATCACACCTAGCTAATTGTTTTATTTATTGTAGAGATGAGGTCTTGCCAAGTTGCCCAGGCTGTTCTCAAACCCCTGAGCTCAGGCAATTCTCTTGCCTCTGCCTCCCAAAGTGCTGGGATTACAAGCATAAGCCCCCATGCCTGGCTGCCATTTCTTCTTGTAATTTGGCTTCAGGCTTTAAGATGCATAGTAGTCAGTGTCACTCCCTTTCCCCAGTGTTAGCAATTCTCCTTTACTATGGATGACACACCATAGTGCAAAGCAAAACATTCCGTAAGGCCTACTGATGGTTCTCGAAGCCCCATCTCCGGGTCTGGCCTTACCACTGAGCTTCAGATTCCTACCTCCAGCTGCACGACAGACATCAAAAGGTGTCGCAAATGGACTTTACCATCTCCCACCCTCGGCCAAAACCTGTGACTTGTTCCTGGATTATCTGTCATGATTAAGCAAACCTCCAGTCATCTAAGGAGGAGTCCAGGGAGTCGTCCCTAGACTCCTCCAGGCTTAGCCCTGCTGTGGAGTGTAATTAGCCCTGCCAATCTGCATCCTAACTCTTTCCCAGTTCCATCTGCTCCTCTCCTTTGTACTGTTCCAACAGCTTCCCTCCTGGCTTTTCTGTTCCACAACAGTCAGATTCTTCTTATTGCCCAGGCAGTGAGACCCGTCTGAACACACATTCCTCCATCGCCCCCTCTGTTAAGCAAAGATGGAGCTCCACAGTGCCGCCAGGCCCTCTGAAAATTGTCTCCAACCGCACCCCAGCCCCATGCCTCAACACTCACAGCCTGGAACTCCAAGCTGTCCGCAGTCCCCGAGGTCTCCTGTACAGATGGTGCTGTTTTACAACTAAACACATCTGCTCACAGAAAGCCCTCTGCCTAGGCGGGTCTCGAACCCATGGGCTCAGGCAATCCACTCACCTCAGCCTCCCAAAGGTGCGGGATTACAGGCTGAGCCACCGAGCCTGGCTAAAGTGCTACTTTCAGCACCGAGCACTGCATAGAAATAGGTGGCCAAAGACTGGTTAACTGAACCTACATAAATACTTGTTCTCCTCACACTTAACATGGAGAACCAACAGTCTCAACACAGCCATTTAAGATCGCTACCCACACAATGGAAAACCATGTTGACTTTTGACACAAAGGAAAGAGGTGAAAGAGGATAGGGTACAACAGTAGAAAGAAAATCACCTCTGTGAAGATGACATGGTGTTCCAGGTCAGCCACCTGCAGGTGAGCCTGAAGGAAATCTGCAAAGGAATTGTGCTGCTGCTTGTAATAGTATTCCCGCGACAGGGACTGTGCCACAAACATGCCCAGGGAAGAGGCACTCAGCCGGATGACGGCATCGGGCGTGGCGCAATTCAGTAGGACCAACTTAGCCTCTTCAGACACCTTCTGGTAAAGTTCCTCAGTCAAGTCCCTAGGGCCTTGTCTCTCTAGGACCTGCAACACCACGGAGGCACAGGCATCAGAGTGGTAGCCAATGAAGGCGTCAGCGGGGCTGTAATTGTGTTTGCCTAGCAAGTGTTCTAACTTCATATCGATGAATTTCCCCACCCACAGCTTAAGCGCGTCCACGATGCTCTTTTGCCACTTCTCCAGCACAGTGTGGATATCCAGATAGTGCTTCTCCAGCCGGTTGATGAGGGGGATGGGAAAGTGTCTGTACACGACATCTTTCTCTTCAATGACTATCAGGCGGAAGTCCGGGTGAACCCGACATTTGACACGATGGGTCCCCAGACCGAGGTCCACATACTTCTGACCCCCCAGGTAAACGTAGTACTGGTTGAGCGCGTCATAGAGGCTCTCATAGAGGTTCTGCAGGTTGAGCAGCAGTACCATCTTGCCTGTCTCCATGCAGATCTTCACTCGGTTGATATTTCTGCAGATCTGGGTGTACTCTTGATCCCTGGGAAAACCGGAACCAAAAATAACCTCCGGCTGCTGTTCCTCACTGAAGAACGTCTGCTGCAGGATCTGCAGGGCCACATAGTTTTTGGTCAGCACAAGTAAATAGCGGGACTCTGCTTCTTCCAGCTCTCCATCTGAATCCTGAAGAGTCCCGAAAATGTTCTGCTTGATCAGCTGCATGGTGCTCACTTCTTCCGAGCACTTTGCCTCAGGCAAACTGGCTGTAAAAATGTCCAAAGCATGGATGTCATCTTTGCCGCTGAAGTTCCGAAGGACAGCCTGTGCAATATCTTGTGGGGAAGGCTTTTTGTTAGAAGCTTTTGCTGTGGCAAAGACCATTTTGATGAGGCTGTAGTAGTCACGAAGCCCAAAGAATTCCTTGTCTTGGCTCTTACATACCGTTTCATAGGCTCTGGCAAAGGAACCAAAGTACCCTTGGATTCTGTCTTGAACGAGGCTGTCTGAAGAGCAGATCCCCTTGGCACTCTCTATGAGCTCTTTCTTGTTGGGACTGCCACGTGACACAAAAATGCCCCGGTTCATCTTGGCAGGATCGAGGGCCCAGTTGGAAATGCCCACGAAGCCAACTTTTTTGTGCGGGGCGGGATCATCTTCAATGCACCCATCTTCCAGCAGTGGGTGCAGAGCCTTCAGAGGCATTTTGGGTGAGTCTTCTGCCAGTCCAACCTCATCTAACACCACCACCGAGACATACTGCTGCAGGTCCTTCCCCTGCTGAAAGCGGGCACACTGCTTAAAAGTGCCTATGATGCCTTGGGGGGTGGAATGTGGGCTGCACTGGAACGACACCAGATGGACCTGCTTCAGGCTCCGGAAGAGATCTGAGTGGGCAGCCTGGCCTTGCATGGCTTCTGCCACAATGGTCTTGGCAAGAGATTTGGAGCTGCCAGGTTTCCCCACCAGGAAGAGGGGAATCTTAAGCTCAATGCAGATAACCATCATGAAGACATTCTCCTTCAAAGCCAAGTTCCTGGCAATGGTTTTCCTCAGAGGCACACCATTCAGAAAAAGATCCTGTGTTTGAGTTATTTCATCCAGAATAACCTTGCTATCATTATATGGTTTTGGAAAGAACCTGGAAATGGCTTTCCGATAGGAGTCTTTCTTTTCTAAAGAGGCATGATAACACACCCCAATGGCCAGCACCAGGGACCAGAGGACAGGATCTCTCTCAAAGTGACTTTTGCTGATGCTGGACTCACAGAGAAAGGACTGTAGCTGTAATAAGAGCATCTCGCTGTGATTGTAAAACCATGTGAACACTTTCACACAGCGCTCCACATCCCTGAGGCTGACAAAACTGCATTCGTTTTCTCTTTTCCTCATGAAACCCTGAGAGGCAGAAAGCACTTCTGTGATCACATGAGTCTCATTTTGATCTAGGCAGATGGAGTCAACTAGTCTCTGGACAATCTGCTGTATGTAGAGCTTTTCAGCAATGTCATTCAGTTGTCCAAAGTCCCACACCAGAGGAATCAGGCTCGGGGGCAGAGCATGGACTCGGTACACTAGCTGCCTCAGAGGAATGGAGCCCAGCCTGTCGGCCGTCTCCTCTGCACTGACCCTATAACCCAAACCGGCTGCCTCCAAACGGCAGATCATCTCCTCAGTGTGCTTCCTGTAAGGGTTGCAGGCTGCTATGATATGCAAGCCAGAGTTCTTAGCCAGGGGCTGGCCATCCACCGTACAGTCACACAGGACTTCTTTGATACAGCTTATGGCTTCTGTTGTGTTGGCTTCATCAAAGAACAAGATGGTGTCCAACCCATGTTGGTCCTTATTAAAGAAGGCAAGTTTTTCAGCCTTTGTGACTTTGGTGTATATCATATCTGCAGTCGTTCCTCCATGTACCTTGACCAGCTTTATAGTGTCAGCATCAACACCCCCACGACGCAGGTCGCTAAGGAATTTAATAAGCCTGGTTTTCCCACAGCCAGTTTCTCCCATGATGATAACTGGGATCCCACACCGGAAGCGCATTTCAATGGCAAGGATCTTAAGCATATTGTCTGTTGTGAGCTCATATGTTTCATCAGGGTCAATGGGCCACTGAATCCCTAAGGCTAGGCAGAGCCTTTCAAGTTTCTCATGTCTGGGCAGGTTATCAAAGTCAATATTGAAGGGCACCCTCTGAAGCGATAGCCCCTTATACAGGTCCATGGTCATGACGTCTTTCTTGATTACCCTCCCATTCAAGTGATTGATGGCGTCAACACTGCCATTCTTGTTGGGCTGTAGATGGAAGCCTATGAACGTCATGGACGTATGGTCATTATTAAAGAAAACATATGGGTGGGGCTCTGACTCCCATCTCTTTCGCAGAGAAAAAGGGGCTAAATCTTCTTCCTTAACCCCATCCATGGTGACCATGTGCTTGCCTGGGCTTTGGTCAGAGGTGTGAAGTGTTGGAGTGGCAAAATCTCTTGCCATAAAAATCATGAAGGTCACCACAAAGTTCTTGAAGCCCCTCAGTGTGTCTCCAGTAAAATCTGAATTGCAGAAGAGCGAGGCCTCACAATCTCTGAGCTGGTAATTCAGGAACTGAGCAAAGTTCCGAAGCTCTGACCAGGATGGGTTTATTACCCCACAGTAAATCAGGAAATGTTGGAGGCATTCCTCTGGGGTACCTTCAATAGAGTCTTTCTGGTATTGAAACATGTCTAGGTTTTGATTTTGATGAAATCGTCTTAAATACTGGTAAGGTCTTTGGAAAGTTTCACTGCAGAACTCTCTCTGATCCATCCCAGGGTCTGTGTAGCTCCTTATGGGTGTCAGTTCCATGTCTATAACTTCTTTGGGAGGTCTACAGGTGACTTTTGGGAAGATATCAAGAAAACTGAACTGGGGGACACGTGCATTCTGGAAAGGAGACATAACATGGTTACAATCAAACTCCTTAAAAAAAAGCTTTTACGTTTTAACCCTCCATGTGGTCTACATTGGATGGACCTTTATGAAAAAAAAAATAACTAAATATATGTAGCTTTCTGTATACCCTTGTTTTTATACAGGGTATCTTTTGTACATTAAGGTATTATGGAAGCTGAAAATGAGAGCCAAATTCTTAATCAGGAAGTTCTTTTCTTTTTTTTTTTTTTTGAGTTAGAGTCTCACTCTGTCTCCTAGACTGGAGTGCAGTGGCCGCTCCCAGCCACCACAGCCTCGACCTGCTGGGCTCCAGCGATCCTTCCGCCTCTGCCTTCCAAGTAGCTGGAACTACAGGTGCGCGCTATCACGCCCGTCTAATTTTTTGATTTATTGTAGAGATGAGGTCTCACCAAGTTGCCCAGGCGGGTCTCGAACCCGCAGGCTCAGGCAATCCACTCACCTCAGCCTCCCAAGGTGCGGGATTACAGGCTGAGTCACCGAGCCCGGCTAGGAAGTTATTTTCTAACCCAAATTCCCAAAATGACATTTCTCTGTTAAGCGTGTGTGTGTGTGTGTTTGTGTGTCACAGCTGGGATTGACACTGAACATACAGCATGAAGCCTGAATTGAACAGACAAATTTAAGATGCTGCTAATTAACAGAAGAGCAGTTTTATTCCAGACATTATTTAAAAATAAGTTTAAAGTTGAACTTTTCTTTACCAACACCACACTCAGCTGCTTTACTAAGGTAGAAGTGTGAAATCACCAAAATGTATTACCCCACTCCAGTAAGAAAGAACTAAAGACCCTCCCATACCACATGAAAATACCCCACAATACAGACCAATGTTGAAGACCTCTTTGGCCGTACCGAATTCCTTTCCAGGATTTCAATGATATATAAATGACATGGGTTCCGAAGCCACATTTTCCCATTTACATCCATTAAGTACTGTAAAATGAGGAGTTTGAAAAGGAACACCCAAATTCCAGTCTGCACCTAAAGACAGAATCACATGGGTGTGTAAATATACAAAATGATGATGATGACTCTCCCATCCCTAAGAATCCTCTTATTTTGTTCTTTGATAGAATGATACTGATTTTTTTTTTTTAGTTGGGGTCTCACTCTCGTCACCCAGGCTGGAGTGCAGTGGTACACTCATGGCCATTGCAGACTCGACCTTCTGGGCTTAGGCAATCCTTCCACTTCAGCCTTCCAAGTAGCTGGAACTATAGACACACGCCACCATGCCCAGCTAGTTTTTGTGATTTATTGTAGAGACAAGGTCTCACCAAGTTGCCCAGGCTGGTCTCGAACCTCCAGGCACAGGCAATCCACTCACCTCAGCCTCCCAAAGTGCTGGGATTATAGGCTGAGCCACCACACCCAGCCGATACTGATCATTAATACAGCCGTGTGCATAACAACATAACATTTCCGTCAACAATAGACCACGTATATGAGGGTGGGCCCTTAAGATTACAATTTTTTACTGTACAGTAAAAAATTTCTATGTGTAGATTCACAAATACTTATACTGTGCTACAACTGCTGACACTATTCAATACAGTAACACACCATACAGGCTTGAAGCCTAGGAGCAATAGGCTGTACAATACAACCTGGGTGTGTAGTGGGCTATACATTTAGGTTTGTGTAAGTATACTCTATGATATTTACATAACAAGGAAATCACCTAACAAAACATTTCTCAGAACTTATCCCCATTGTTAAGGAAAGCAGGAGTCTACATATAGAAAGAAGAAATTATTTATATGGGGAGGAGCCAAACTAGGGTGTGGGAATTACGTCTTTATTGATGTGGCCATTAATGCAAGAGCACTTACTGAAGAGGTCACATCCAAGTGGAATATCATGGGTGTTTTCTGGTACTGTGCATCCAGGAAAGGCAGAAGGGAGCCCAGGACGTGGCTTTCATCCACCTGGGGGTCGATCAATCGAATCGTTTTTAGAGGTACCTTTTTCTTGCTTATCTTCATCATCTTCAGTTTGTCATGCAATCTCTTCACATAGAGAGACTTTCCTGTGACATTAAAATGTGGAAATTAGGTCCCAGTACTGTAAACAAAACAGTAAGGGAATCCAGAAAGATGTATTAGAAGTCCTTTTGGTGTAAAACTCAAAACTGATGCAACATGACATCAGATTGAAGAATACACTTTTGAACCTTCGTATTTCCCAGCTATCACCTAATCACTGTCCTTACCATGTGCCTGCTACTAATGACAGCAATCTAAGTACAGTCATGGGTTACTTTACAGGAATATGCTCTCAGAAATGCATCTGTAGGCACTTTTGTCATTGTATGCACATCACAGAGCGCACACACATAAACCTAGATGGTAGCACCGACAGTACACCTAAATTAGACGGCACAGCCTATTGCTTCTAGCCTACACACCTGGACAGGTTACTGTACTAAATACTGCAGTCAACTGTAACACAATGGTAAGTATTTGTGTATCTAAACATATCTAAATACAAAAAAAGTGACAGTAAAAAATATGATAAAAAAAGTGACAGTAGGCCGGACTCGGTGGCTCAGCCTATAATCCCAGCACTTTGGGAGGCCAAGGTGAGTGGCTTGCCTGAACCTGCGGGTTCGAGACTAGCCTGGGCAACTTGGCAAGACCTTGTCTCTATAACAAAATCAAAAATTAGCTGGGCATGGTAGTGCGTGCCTATAGTTCTGGCTACTTGGAAGGCTGAGGCAGAAGAATCGCTGGAGCCCAGCAGGT